TTGCCCTTCTGGTCCCCCAGCGCCTGGGGGGGGGGCGCTCGGCTCAGGGGACTCGACCACCCACGCGTCCGTGGCCCCGAATGGAGGCTGAGCTCGGTCGAGGGAAACGCCCACCCGCACGTATGCGGCCTCGAGCACGAGCTCGCCTCCCCTTCCCTTTAGGGTCTGCCCCTGTCTGGGCTCCCCAAGGACGCTTCCGCGCCCCGACGCCAGCCGCTGGGCGAGGGCTCTCATCCCAAGGGTTTCGCCCACCCGCGTGTCCGTGGCCCTGGAATGGGGCTGAGCTCGGTCAAGGGCTTCGGCCACCCGCACGTCTGCGGCGTTGCTTCAGAGCTCACCCCTCCATTCTGGGTCTGCCCAGCAACGGACTCCCCGAGGACGTCTCCGCGCCCCGACGACGACGAAGGGCCTCTCTCCCCTGGGGCTTCGGCCACCCGCGCATCCGCGGCCAGTCATGGGGTGGAGGCTGGACCTGGTCAAGGGCTTCGGCCACCCGCATGTATGCGGCTTCGCTTTATAGGTCCGCTTCCCTCCTTTAGGGTCTGCCCCTGTCTGGGCTCCCCAAGGACCGCTGCTGGCCCCAGTAGAAGGAGGCGCTCTCGCAGGCGCCTGAGCTCACTAAGCAACCGCACCCGCGGCCTGCCATCCAGAGGCTCCAGCTGCTCGCTGCCGTTCTCCGCGATAGCGTCGACGTAGTCCCTGAAGCTCACGGCGACTGCTGCGAGGTGGCACCGCGCCCGCGCAGCTCGGACGCCCCCATCTCGGCCGACCCCATTCAGGCGCGAGGCCGGGCGTGACACCCCAAAAGGGGGCCAGCAGGAAAAAGGGAGGGCGCCTCCGCCCGCATCGCCCCAGCGGCAGCCTCCTCGGCCTCGCGCCTGGGCGCGGCGCGCCCCTCCAACCGAGGCCCCCGTTGGGCACAGCGCAGCTCCGCCGCTCCCGCCGCCACGATGTCCACGCCCTGCGCCTCAGCGTGGAGAGCGACATTACGCCGCAGGCGCTCGAGCCATGTCGGGGACCTACCCCCAAGCTTGGCCTGCAGCGCGGGGAGCATCGCCTGCAGTCGCTGCCCAACCTCGCCGTCGCCGATGACGGCGCACATTGCCTCTTCCGCGGCCTCCAGGCGAAATCGGGTCTTGGCCAGCTCGCCCGAGAACCGCCTGAGGGCATTATCTGCGGACCACTTCGCCCACTCTCGGCCTGCCCTGCGCTGGGCCGCCGATCGCCTTGGCGCGCACTCCGCGCCATCACGTGCCACCATCGCTCCGTGAGCCAAGAGCCCTGCCCCCCCAAGGCTCTCAGAAGGACAAAGTCCAGGAGCAGGGGGCCTACGGAAAAGGCCTGAGCCAAAATGGCTACGGATGATGATGATGATGATGATGATGATGATGATGATGATGATGATGATGATGATGATGATGATGATGATGATGATGATGATGATGATGATGATGATGATGATGATGATGATGATGATGATGATGATGATGATGATGATGATGATGATGATGATGATGATGATGATGATGATGATGATGATGATGATGATGATGATGATGATGATGATGATGATGATGATGAGGATGATGGATGATGATGAGGAGGAGGAGGGAGAGGAGGATGAGGATGAGGAGGAGGAGGAGGAGGAGGAGGAGAAGGAGGAGGAGGGGAAGGAGGGGGAGGAGGAGGAGGAGGAGGAAGATGAGGAGAAAGAGGAGGAGGAGGAGGAGGAGGAGCAGGAGGGGGAGGGGGAGGGCCACCGAGCCGAGACGGACGAGGAGGAGGAGAAGTGGAGGAGGAGGAGGAGGAGGAGGAGAAGAGACATGAGACCAACGCCGCGTGATTTGGCGAAGGGGCGCGGCGATGTTGCGTAGAAGCGGGACCCGTCGCTGATCCACGCGCCAGGATCCATGCTTGCGTTTCATCAGTGTGTCAAGCGGACAACGTCCGCAGCGACACCGACAACGACGCCTGCTCGAACCGGACAAGATCTGCTGTCGGTCTTCGTCTCTGTTCTTTCCCGTAACCGTCTCGATCGTACCAAACAGCCACGGGGACGCCCCGCGCCAGAACGCCCCCCCCAAGCGCGGTCGGAAAGGCGGCTGATCCCCCCCTTTCTGTGACAACTCATGGGAGACCCCCCAAACCATCCTGCTGGCCCCTGCAAATCGACGCTGGTCGACGCTAAGCGACGCTAAATCGACGCCGATTGACGCTAATTGGCGCGGTCTCATCGAATACCCGACGCTGGCGTACGCCATTGCTCTTGCGAAAGAGGCTGCCTCTTAGAATGCGCCAGCCATGCGTTTATACACGAGGCCCGCGCCTTCTGAGATGCAGGCTCCTTCAAAGATGCCTTCCCCCCTCCCCCACACCCCCCTGCACGCGCGGCAAGGAGGACACCTGACGATGGACACGCGAGGCTCCAGCGGGCTGCTGCCGAAGCACCCCGCAGCGTCCGGTGCGGGGAGGCCCGCCTCGACCTTGGCCATGGCGCCGTGGAAGGCGCTGTTGCTCTGCGCCTCGTCGAGCTGAGCCGCTGCGCTGTCCAGCGTGCCTGCCGGCCCGGGCTGAGGGGCAGCGCTATCGTAAAGGGGCCCCAGGACACGCAAAGAAATACACACATATGAAAACATTCTCCATATTTTCACATATTTTTGGGGGGGTCGTCTTTCCCTCCACTTCCCATATTTTCTTATATTTTCAGGGGAATCGACGATTCATTGTGTCTATGTGTTTTTTGCCCCTCCTGATATCGGGCAACCGCGGACGGGGCCTGGGGCCTGAGGGAGGGGGCCCTGTACTGCCCTGGAAAGGTACTGCAACTCGAATCGCAGATGTGCTCGGTGTCGTGGTCGTTGGCCTCAGGAGGCCGATTCCGGGCCCCAAGACCGTCCGGAACGCACCCTGCATACAAAACGACCCGTAGGGAAGTCCCCCGGGCGATTTGTTTTACACGACCAAAAGCTGCATTAGTTTTCACGGGGGTGTCAGGATCTCAAGGGATCCGAAATTGGAACTACATTGAGGCGCATCATTCTTACGGTCCCATCCATGAGGGCCCAATCTTTGAACCGCCGACGTCAGAGCGGAACGGGCTCACGGGGGGGGGACACATCGAGCTGGAACCGTCGATGCATCGCTGATAGATCCGCGACTGGCCAGCTATTACGAGCCCGCACGCTCCCGGGCGGGGAGGGCCATCGGGCCCCTATCGTTTGTTTGTTTGGTCCGTCCGCAAGCAGTGGCGAGCGCGTGCAAGGAAGCTAAATACGTGTGCTACGACAACGGCTGGCTCATACCGACCCCGCAGGCCAACAACCGTGCGGCTACACAGCGAAAGCAAAACACACAAAACGAAAAAAAGAGTGATGGAAGGAGGGCACAGGGGAACTAAGAGAGCGCAACCACTAGAACAAGATAGCGTGGATAATGCCGAATGTTTCCTGTACGCCGAAGGTGGCAGGGCTTCCGCGCCGGTTATTGCAGTCACTCTATGCAGTTGCATATGCATTCGAGCGCCCAATCCAGAGCCACCGTCCCCGTTTGGAACGCCGATGCCACACCAACGACCGTATCCGCGCTGCTGCCTGAAATCTTGTACGTCGCCACGTTGGGAACGCTTTTTTTCCGACCCGTACACGGCCATACCGATAACTGTTGGTCGGTGGCCAACCCGGCCGCAAGCTTCACGACAATCTCCGTCAGTGCAGACCTTCATGCTACGAAATGCGAATCTACGTTGGCGGCCTATGGCGACATTGACCCAATAAACTTTTGTGGTCGTGAACCATCGGTCCGGCCAGATGACGGGCGGGTCGGTAATATCGCAACGATGCTTCCAACCTGAAAACCACAGGTGTCCCAATCGGCAAATGCGGCGAAAAGCTGCCTCCGAGCCTGGGGCCCTGAGCACGGCCTCGCCGTTCACCACTTAAGGGGCCCCAGAATTAGCCTGGCGAGGGGCCCAACCATACGCAAGTGTGAATACCGCAATTGTGAATACCATCTTCGCCCGCGCTCCCCATGTGTCCACGGCTTCCCGCCAGAGCCCGACATGCTCAGGGACACGTTTGTGGCCGTCTTCGCGGGCGCCGACGACGACGAGGACGGCGCCCCCCTGACCGAAGAGCAGAAGCAGGAAAGGGTTCTGACAGCCATGAGGAAGACTGCCATTGGCGCCTTCGGTGGAGCTCCTGTGAGGCCACGATCCTCGTGCGGGGTGCCGAAATGGCTCGAGGCAGCCATGCGAACCCTGCCGCTGGGGCCTTCGGTGGAGCTCCCTATGGGGCCACGATCCTCGTGAGGGGTGTGCCGACATGGCACGAGGCCGCCATGCGAACCCGGCCACTGGCGCCTTCGGTGGAGCTGGCCCCCTATGGGGCCACGGTCCTCGAGAGGGGTGTGCCGACGTGGCCCAAGGCGGCCATGCGAACCCTGCCACTAGCGCCTTCGGTGAAGCTCCTATGGGGCCACTATCCTCGTGAGGGGTGTGCCGACATGGCACGAGGCCGCCATGCGAACCCTGCCACGGGTGGCTTCGGTAGAGCCTCCCCGTGGCCTGTCCCCGTGGCTCCTCCCGGTCCCCGGGTGGGCAGGGGGTCGTGCGCCCCAATCCTCCGTCATCTCGATCCTCCTTCCTCCTCCTCCTCCTTCCTCCCTCCTCCTTCCTTCCTCCTTCCTCCTTCTTCCTTCCTCCTTCCTCCTCCTTCCTCCTTCCTCCTTCGTTCCTCATTCCTCCTTCCTCCTTCCTCACCCTCCTTCCTCCGCCCCTCCGTCCTCTGTAACGCTTCCTTCCTCCGCCCCTCCTTCCCGAACAGAACCGACGGAACGAACAGGCCAACCGAAGAACCGAAGAACCGAACCAATCGGATTGAACCTGGAGAATCCTGGAACCGCACCGAAACGGAACGAAGCCAAGACCAAACCTGCAAAAACCGACCTGGTACAAAAACAAACCAATCAGGCAACACCGAACCGGCTGCAATACCGAACAGAACCGATCCCTCCATGAAATAGCCTCGTACCGACGACCCAATCAGGCACATTGGCGGGATGTGCCGAAGACCACCAGTAAGTGCGAGCTGGGCGTCTAGGGCGCAGTGTAACTGTGAAGCCCCAAGGGCGACCCATTGCGTCAAGGAGACCCAAGGGGGAAGCCTAGAAAGCACGCTTGAATGGGGTGCGCAAGCCTTCCCCAAACCCATACTGCGGGATACCCCCAGAAACTTCCGCCGCTGATCACCTCTCTCATCCCAAAGCGACCCACGACCCGCCTCCTCCCGATCTCCCCAGCTGCGCCGTGGGCCTTCGGACCCGTCCACGCCGCACATCTCCTGTGCGGGAGTTGCGCGCTGGACACGGGAAGAACCACCCGCACGACTAGGCCACTGCTACCGATGCGGCCGCCGCTAGCTGCCGCTGCGTGAGAGTGCCACTGCAACTGCTGTTGCTACTGTATACTAAATCTGCCACTGTGGCGCAGGAACTTAGTGGAGGGTCCTCTGGTCCCTTCGGGCTTCTGCACTGAATGTTGTAAATGCTGTCGCGCAGGACGCAGACCCCAGAGTTTCGGGTGCTCTTAGAGCTCTCGGGGGGGGCACCCCGAGTGACTTGTCAGTAAATCTTTGAAGCATGAAAAAGAATATGTTGTGTCATTCGTCCAGCCCCGAGGGTGGAACACGAAACTGGCCCTCGGGGCCCGCTGGTGCCCTAATGTCCCCCCGAGACCGTCGGGAGGCCAGAGGCCCCCAGAAACACCCAAGAGACCTCCCGCCCAAGGTGGCCTTCAAGATGACCTCCAAGACAGCCAAGATTACCTCCAATACGGTCCCGAGACACTTCCAAGACGGCCAAGATGGACCCAAAGATGCCCCCCAAACGGCACAAGCGGTCCCCATCACGCCCAAAGAAGGATCCAATCGGAGCCCCAGGAGGCCCATCAGGAGGCCCATAGATTGGTCTTCTCGTAGGTTCAATGAGTTCAGCGTTCTCGCCTTTGCGGGCATTCGACACTACAAGACGGCCTCCTCGGCCCCCAAGATCGCCCCAAGACGGCCCAAGAGGCCCGCAAGACAGCCCGAGGCCCCAAGACGGCCCAAGAGGAGGCCCCCAAGTCGGCACCAAGACGGCCCCAGCGCGCCCAAAGAGGGGCCCACGACTGCCCAGAAAGGATCTCAAGGCGGCCTCCGAAGGCCAATAGGCCCCTGGAGGCCGCCGGTGGCCGCCAGAGGCCCCCAAAAACCCCCAATTGGCCCCAGGAGGCTCCCAAGAGGCCCATCAGAGGCCCCCAGCAAACCCACAAAACGCCCCCCAGAGAGCCTGAAGAGGCCTCCTCTTCTTCTACTCTCTCATCCTCATCCTCCTCCATCTCGTCCTCGTCCTCGTCCTGCTTCTCCTCCTTCTACTCCTTCTCCTCATCCTCCTCCTCCTCCTCCTTTTCCTCCTCCTCCTCCTTTCTCTTACTCTCCCATGTGTTCCCCAAGGGGTTCCACAACAGCTGGGGGGAGCGCATAGTCCAACAGCTTGGCCAGAATGTGGCCCAATATTTGGCCGCATGGTCGTTTCCAAAAGGCATGGGGCGGCGGTGGTTCGCTACAGGAGTCTTCGATACTACTCTTACTGCCACTGCCGCTGCCGGTGATCTCTGGTATCGGTATTGCCGGTGATACTTGGCACTTCTGCTCCATTGCCGGTGCTGCTGATTCTGCTGCTGCTGAGACTGATAGCGCCACCTCACCCCGCTCGTCCTGCCTCCCCCTGTTCCTCAAATATACCTCCCCCCTCCTTGCCCCTCTTCCTCCTCCTCCTCCTCCTCCTCCTCCTCTTCCTCCTCCTCCTCCTCCTCCTCCAAGGATTCCAACTTCGACCTGAACCCATTGCTCTGAGGCCCCCTGGTTTAGGACTAAATCAGGCTGTGTATTGGTCTAGAGATGGGCTGCCCAAGGAGGTGGCCATGCAAGGTGAAGTTTTCCATGATGGCAGTGTTTTGAAACCTGGGCCCGCGGTGTATGATGCCCCCGCCTGGTCCGTGGTCAAAATCGACGAGGACGGCGACCTGGTTGCCAGTCTCTCAGGCCCTGTGGGGGCCAGCCTTCCCCCCACGTCGCCCGCTGCCGAACACCTGGGGTTTCTAGTTGCTACGTCCTGCCCCAGAGTCACCAAAGCGTGGACGGATTTCGGTGCACCAAAGCGCCGAAGTCTCACGTAAGGAAATGTACTCAGGAGTTTCAGTACTGGCCAGGACCCAGAGCTGCTTTGCGTCCCTCGAGATCGGGAAAGTCAAGGCCCACCGGAACCTTTCTTCCCTGGTGGTCGGCTCGAGGGACTGGTTTGTTGCCAAAGGAAATGACTGGGCGGACAAGATTGCCAAAAAAGCGGCCGCCAGAATTCCCGCCCCGTCCCAGAGGGAAATCGAGCATTAAAAAGAGTGTCGCAGCCAAGTTCAGAGGCCGGTGAAGTATGCTGCAGAGGCTCTTTCCTTGTGGGCCCCACTCGCTCCGAAGTCGGGCAAGAAGGCCTACGAGAATCCCACCCAGAGTTTCAATCCGCCAGTTGGGGCAGCGGGACCAGTCAACCAGTGGACTGCGCCACCCCCGCCCCCTGGGGGTCGTCCTCGGCGTGCTCGAGCGTGCCGTAACCCCCAGGGCGTGGCGAGACATCAATGGGCATGGCTTAATAATCATTGGCTGTGCCTCGCCTGTCACACCCGCGCCCGCACGGACAGCACGCGCAAGACCCGTATGCGAGAAGCATGCCCAGGTAATTCAGTCATGTTGTCAATGTGAATTAGGGACCCCCAGAAGCACCAATTAACGATTTGTGATTACCTTGATGAGTCCTTCCTTGTCGTTTGTAACAGGTGCGGCCGCTACAGCGAAAGCAACCTCAAAGGACTCAAAGGTGAATGTAAGGAGCGCTTCCAAAGCAAGTTCTCCCAAGGTGCGTGGTCCCTCCTGGCAAGCGGCCGTCATCCCAAGAGCAGCATGAAGGCCCGTCCCCGACTTTCCCTGCCCATCCCTGCGGCCCAGCTCCTCAAGGAAGGAGGGGCGACGTAGGGAAGAATGCCAGCGTAAGAGGAGAGCGGATGTAACCCCAAGGTTTCGGTTAGGGTCGGGTCGGCCTAACCCTAGCCTCCCTCATTAGCATGTGATGGTCCTCCTCCTCCTCCTCCTCCTCCTCCTCCTCCTCCTCCTCCTCCCCTCACACCCCCACTCCTCAAGGGCAGGCGCGGGGTCCTCCCCCGCGGACTTCAGGCGCTCGATCATCCCGTCGATGCCCGACTTGCACTCCCCGGAGAGCCTCGAGCGGGGTCGGAGGCAGCTGGATATGCGCCCCGAGTCGGCCGCGAGCTGGCGAAGAGCAAGCGAGCGCGAGCCAGAAGTCACACACCCGGAAGGTGCGTAGGACACGGATGTGGCAAAACCGGTAACTCTTGCCGCTCCGTGAGACCGGCGGCCCCGACGAGGGGCCCAGGCAGAAGATCGAAGAGCCGGAGAGGGGGGGGGAGGGGGAGAGGCGAGCGGAAGAGGAGGAGCGGAGGGAGACAAAGAGGAAGAGAAGGCGCTGGCGAAGAGGCTGGCGCTTCAGCCTATGTCTGCCTGCACGTAGCATCGCCATGACATGGCAGTGCTGACAAGATGCCGCCCGCGCCCCATAGAGCCTCAGGATGGGAGCGGCAGACCTGACAGGATGGATTGTATAATGTCCCTGGGCAGACCGTTAGGGAATTATCACAATGGGAATTATTACAATGGGATTATTACACTGGGATGGGATTATAGAATGTCCCTTGGCAGACTGTTAGGGAAGCATTACAATGGGATCAGCGAAAGGCGGCGATGGGGAAACATTTGACCGCTTGAAGATGGCATGGGCGGGAGGCTGATGCGAAACATACTCGTTGACCCCAGCCATACCAAGGCAAGAAAAACCAGCTCGGACCAGACGCGCCCGCCCTAGACGAGGACACTTCAAAAATCTCCTGGTCGACACCATCCCACTCCTACCAATTCTAGAACGAGGCCTGTCCAACTTCTCGCTACCGAACTCCGTCATAGCCTTCGACATGGTGTCGTAATCGTTCAATATCTTGAACAGGGCGTCGATCGGATCCGCAAGCCTCCGAGCATAAAGACGGCAAGCATGAGCGAAGGTTGTCAAGGCCCTGGGAGACCTCAGGAAGAACGCGATTCGATGAAGCACTGGATGGGCACATACATCGAACAAACGCTGCCGGCGGCAAGTCACAAGTCTCTGCCAATCTCTAAACACAGGCCAACATGGTGTCCGCCACGATGAGTATAATCGGCCCGGACAAATTGTGCCTAGAAAATTGAGAGGGCGAACAATCTTACACTGTCACTGTGCGTGCCTGAAGTGGAGTTTCGCGGTGCGGATTTTCTGGACATGCCTCTGATACCACGCGCAAACATGTAGGGCGACCGTAGACGGCGGTGCACCCGACCTGCTGATGACGTCTTGAGCGCATCCGCACCGTGCAACTGCGCGTCCTGCTGGCAATCATTATGCAACCCACTGCCACGAGGAGGGCGTGGAAGGAGAGCGCGGACGAGGACGAGGGCGAGGTCGGGGGAGAACGTGAATGGACAAGGTGCAGCGGCGGGCGGAGGAGGCGTGAATGGAGCATGAGCAGGACAGCGGGAGAAGCAAAAAGGAGCACAACGAGTGCCCCGAACCATGGACAGAAAGCCTGCGGTTCTCCAAGTACCAGCTGCGCAGGCCACCCACCTGCGACATGCTCTGGTAGAGCTGCTGCACGAGGCCGTTATGGCCGCACGGGATGCCCAGCTTGATCTCCGCCGCCTGGCGGTTGCCCCCCGCCCCCCCCCGCCCACCCAACCGCTGCCAACCCATCCCCCAGCCTCCTCTTCCTCCTGATCGGAAACTCCGATCGGCGTGGTGGTTTGCAAAGTTTGCAGGTTGCAGCCCGCACCCTGGGCGGGTGCAGGCGAGGACCTCGCCAGAGCGCCCGACGAGGGGAAGGTGGAGCCCCCCGAGCTCCGACGGCGCAGATCGCAAGCCACACCGTGGCGTAACCACGCCCTTTTTGCACAGTCGAGTCTGAGTGGAGAGGACACGCGAGAGGACGAGACCACTGCGAGGGCCACGTTGCCACGGGAATGCAGAAGACATGGGTCGCCAAACATAGGACATGCGGATACTCTTGATTTGGGAGGGCCGACCTAGTGATCAAACCCATCTGTACAGTACGAGCCCGACCACAAGAAACCGTCCACAAGAAACCCGACCCTGAGACCCCATGACGTCCACTGATGCGTGGCGTGGGAACGCCACGCCGTCCATGGCAAAACCATCGCGACCCAAAACACACCCAGGGCACCCTGGAGGCACGCAGGGGATGTCCTGGCAGGGGCCCCCACTGTACTCGCCGATCCTGGGGCGGGGGGGGGTCGCACCCGAGGGGGAGGAAGAGGAGGAGGAGGAGGAGGAGGAGGAGGAGGAGGACCTCTTTGACCTCTTTGCTCTCAGACACAGTCCACACCCCGTCCATCATCCTGTCTGCTGCAGTCAGTCCGAAGTGTCTGACTCCCCCTGCGTGACCCGTTGGTCTCCAACCTGCGGCCTTCGGGCCGCTGCTAACAGTCTCTGAACAATCGCCTGCGTCCGAAGCTCCTTGGCCACGCGGCGCAGCTGCTCCTGCTCTTGCCCGTCATCGCGGGCACGGGTCACGCATGGGGGCTCGGCGGGGGCCCCCTCGGGCTCACGGTGCACCTCCCCCCTGGCCTCGTGGGCCGACACGACACGACTCCTGTCTCTCCGAGCCATGGCCATCTTGATGGCTCTTGGGGGGCCTTCCGGCCGAGGAAACATGCCTTGGTCAATTCTGCGCATGTTCTCAGCGCCCACGCACTTCTTCCGCAGGGACCTCGAGTCCACGGTGGCATACATCCCGCAGGGGGAGCAAATCTGAAAGAACCAGCGATCAACGAACGTGATCGAGTGAGACGGGTGGATTTCAAGGTCCACTCCGTTCAGCGGCGTGAACTCAGGGGCCCCAGGGACGCTTTTCCCAGGGGGCCCAGCACACGACGAAACCGAAAAGCGCAAAAACCTGGATCCAGGAACGATCAGCTCGCACTGAGAGCACCTCCACTTGCTACCTACTTGCTCTAGCTGGTGGGACGAATCGCGAATCGCTTCCTCCTGCTTGGAAAGCTTCTTGATAACTGGGGCTCTGCCAGCGCGCTCTCCCGTCTCAGACAAGGCGGCCAGCATGAGCGTACGACGGGCTCGCTTGCGGACAAGGTGCGCAATCGAGTCAATCCTGTCAGTGTCAGGTTCAGTCCCCACCAACCCAAACTCCCACGCCAGCTCCGCCCCGACTCCCACCCAGACATCAGCTACTAAATTGCCTGCCGCCAGGAACTGCTGCTGCGGGCAGTCTAGTAATTCTGGCGACTCGTCAAGATGTGAGGCCGTCCACACAACATTAATCACACGACCTGGGTGGACCTGCCAGGCGGCTCTCGCTCGGGTCCACAGGTCCTCGTTGGGGCCTGTGGCTCTCGGGTGCTAGGAGGAGGAGGAGGAGGAGAAGGAGGAGGAGAAGGAGGAGGAGGAGGAGGACGGGGGAGGAGGAGGCGGAGGAGGAGGAGGAGGAAGGACCGAGGACCGAGGATCGAGGAGGAGGAGGAGGAGGAGGAGGAGGAGAAGGAGGAGGAGCGCTTCTCGGGCGAGGGCGGGCGGGCGAGGCAGACGGACGGAGAGGGCGCGGCGGGGGTGCGCAAAGGAGCTGCGCGGAGGAGAGGCTGGCTAACCAGTGTTCCGTTCCTGTCTGGCACGCTGGCAGGGTCTGGGCAAGCCATACATAGGGCACCGAACTCTATACACCAACGTTTTTGTGTCCCGGCCCTGCGCTGAACCTCTCACAATAAAGCGGGTCCTGGTGTATGTGGGGTCCTGGTGCATACATGTTTCGTTGTTTCCCTTGGACAACGGGGGGGGAGTATACACCACACCAACCCGACGTCGTCCCCGACCCTCAAGAAGTCTTGGGATTGAAAAAACAACCCGCCACTGGTGATGTACATGTTCCAGTTTCCGAAGCTGCACCATTGTATTCCAGGCACAACAAGCTCGTACTCCAGGCGCGGATGAGAAGGGACTGCGGAAGGGTGCGGGTCGGAGGGACGAGATAGCAGGGGAGGGAGACAGAGGCCAGGAGGAGAGGGAGCCGGACGGTCAAGTGCGAGAAGAGATGCGCGGGTACGCTGCGGGGGAGGGATGGCGAGGGAGAGAGGACAGTGAAATCCGCCGGCCCACTTTGGGGCACAAGGCTGTAGGCTGTGAAAGATGATGCTGGACTGATTTCGAATTTTTCCCTACCTAGGCTCTGCCTAGAAGGGTTCTTACTCTGAGGCTTACAGGGCCGGGCAGTGGAATGCGCCCCGGGCGGTTCCCCCAGGATCCGCCCCGCGGTTCCCCCAGTGACGTTCCCTTAGCTTCGCGTTGCTGATCTTACCTTAGCTTAGCTTATCTCATCTTACCTTAGCTTAGCTTCATCTTACCTCAGTTTTATTCCCTACCTAGGCTCTGCCTAGAAGAGTTCTTACTCTGAGGCTTAAAGGGCTGGGCAGTGGAATGCGCCCCGGGCGGTTCCCCCGGCATCCACCCCGCGGTTCCCCCCAGTTTTAGCTTTAGCTTTAGCTTTAGTATTAGCTTAGCTTTAGCTTAGCTTTAGCTTAGCTTTTAGCTTAGCTGTTAGCTTAGCTGTAGCTTAGCTTCAGCTCAGCGTTAGCTCAGTTTTAGCTTAGTGTTAGGTTAGATTTAGCTTAGCTTTAGCTTGGCTATAGCTTAGATGTAGCTTGGCGTTAGCTTAGCTGTAGCTTACTTTCGTTCAGCTTTAGCTTAGCTTTCGCTTAGCACTAGCTTAGCGCTAGCTTAGCTGTAGCTTAGCTTTAGATTAGCTTTAGCTTAGCTTTAGTTAAGCTTTAGCTTAGCTTTAGCTTAGCTTTGGCTTAGCGCTATCTTAGCTGTATATTAGCTGTAGCTTAGCTTCAGCTTAGCTTTAGCTTAGCTTTAGCTTATCGTTAGCTTAGCTTTAGCTTAGCTATAGCTTAGCTTTAGCTTAGCTTCAGCTTAGCTTTAGTGTAGCTTTAGCTTAGTTTCAGCTTTGTGTCAGCTTAGCGTTAACTTATCGTTAGCTTAAATCCGCCGACCCCAGAGGCGTGTGAGGGAGAGTGCGTGCTAGAGCCAATCATCGTGAGCTTCTCCTTTCAAGCAGCCACCGACCGATACCCTCCTCCTGGCTCCCTCCCTTGGAACCTCTGTTCCTGGGCCCCCCTTTCCCCCACCCCACCACTTCTCGCCCAAAACCGACCGAAACCCCCAACCACGCTCCCCACCACGCTCCTGCCACGCTCCCACCACGCCCCGGCATCCTCACCCCCAGGCTTCTGGGCTCTGTTCTTGGGACCCCCGACCCCCCGATTTTTCGTTTAAAAACGACCGACGCCTTCCACAATGACCCCCTCGTGGCCCCGACACCCTCAAAGCTTCTGGGCTCCGTTCTTGGGACCCCCGACCTCGCGATTTCTCGCCCAAAAACGACCGACGCCCCCACCATGACCCCCTCCTGGCCCCGACACCCCCAAGCTTCTGGGCTCTGTTTTTGGGGCCCCCGACCCCGCGATTTCTCGCGCAAAAACGACCGACGCCCCCCACCATGTCCCTCTCCTGGCCCCGGCACCCCCAGGCTTCTGGGCTCTGTTCTTGGGACCCCCGACACCGCGATTTCTCGCCCAAAAACAACCGACGCTCCCCACAATGACCCTCTCCTGTGCCCCAGGCTTCTGGGCTCTGTTCTTGGGGCCCCCGACTCCACGATTTCCCGCCCAATAACGACCGACGCCCCCCACCATGACCCCTTCCTGGCCCCGACACCCCCAGGCCTCTGGGCTTTGTTCTTGGGACCCCCGACCCCACGATTTCTCGCCCAAAAACAACCGAAGCCCTCCACCATGACCCCCTCCTGGCCCCGACACCACCCGGCTTCTGGGCTCTGTTCTTGGGATCCCCGACTCCACGATTTCTCCACCAACAACGACCGACGCGCCCCACCATGACCCCCTCCTGGCCCCGACACCTCCAGGCTTCCGGGCTCTGTTCTTGGGACCTCCGACCCCACGATTTCTCGCCCAAAAACGACCGACGCCCCCCACCATAACCCTCTCCTGGCCCCGACACCTCCAGGCTTCTGAGTCCTGTTCTTGGGACCCCCGACACCGCGATTTCTCGCCTAAAATCAACCCATACCTCTCCACCTGGCCGCCACCTCGCCCCCACCTGGCCCCGACACCACCAGGCCTCTGGGCTCGGTTCTTGGGACCCCCGACCCCGCGATTTCCCGCCCCAAATCAACCCCTACCCCCCACCTGGCCGCCACCTCGCCCCCACCTGGCCCCGACACCCCCAGGCCTCTGGGCTCTGCTCTTGGGACACCCGACCCCGCGATTTCTCGCTGAAAAACGACTCATACCCCCCACCTGGCCGCTACCTCGCCCTCACCTGGCCCCGACGCCCCCCGGCCTCTGTTCCTGGGACCCCCGACCCCAAGATTTCTCGCCCGAAATCGACCCATACCCCCCCCCACCTGGCCGCCACCTCGCACCCACCTGGCCCCGACACCCCCGGGCCTCTGGGCTCTGTTCTCGGGACCCCCGACCCCACGATCTCTCGCCCAAAATCGACCCATACCTCCCACCTGGCCGCTACCTCGCCCCCACCTGGCCCCGACACCCCCACGCCTCTCGGCTCTGTTCTTGGGTCCCCCGACCCCGCGA